TGCACACCCAGCTGTGCACACGCACACACAGCCCTGCCATCCCGCTGTGTGCAGGGCGCTGCGACACGTGGACGACCCCAGAACCCCAAAAACGCCGGGAGTGGGGGGACCCCAAACTGCGAACTGCACAGAGCACGCAGGGACCCCCCGACGTCCCCACCTCGGCTCCCCCCCCACTGCAGAGATGGAGGCGGTGCCGTCATCACCCCCCAGCCCCACAACCCTGCAACCCTGCAGCCTCACAGCCCCACAACCCTGCAACTCTGCAGCCCTGCAGCCATGCAGCCCTACAACCTCACAGCCCCACAACCCTGCAGCCTCACAGCCCTGCAGCCCTGTGGCACCACAACCCTGCAGCCCCACAGACCCTCAGCCCTGCAGCCTTGTAGCCCTGCAGCCCCACAAGCCTGCAGCCCTGCAATCCCACAGCCCTGCATCCCCACAACCTTGCAGCCATGCAGCCCCACAGTCCCTCAGCCCCACAAGCCTGTAACCCTGCAGCCCTGCAGCCCCACAATCCTGCAACCCCGAAATCCTGCAGCCCCACACCCCATGAGGTGTGGGCACAGCCCTGCAGCCCCGCAGCCCCGCAGCCTCACAGCCCTGCAACCCTACAGTCCTGCAGCCCCACAGCTCCCTGACTCCGCAGCCCCACAGCCCTGCATCCCTGCAGCCTCACAACCCTGCATCCCCACAACCTTGCAGCCCCACAGCCCCACAGCCTTGTAGCCTTGCAGCCCCGCAAACTTGCAACCCTGCAGCCCTGCAGTCCCACAGCCCTGCATCCCTACAACCTTGCAGCCCTACAGCCCCACAAGCCTGCAGCCCTGCAGCCCCACAGCCTCGTAGTTCTGCAGCCCCACAACCTTGTAACCCTGAATCCCTACAACCATGCAACCCTTCATCCCCCCAAGCCTGCAACCCTGCAGCCCCAGAAGCCTGCAAGCCTGCAACCTTGCAGCCCCACAACCCTGCAGCCCCACAAGCCTGCAACCCTGCAGCCCTGCAGCCCCACACCCCATGAGATGCGGGCACAGCCCTGCAGCCCCACAGCCCTAAAGCCCTTGTAGCCCTTCAGCCCCACAACCCTGCAACCCTGCAGCCTCACAAACC